TTCAATATTACAACTGTGTAAATCAAATGAATAACCATTCTTAAATTTAATATTTGCTAATTTTGCTTCAGGGTAAAATAATTCAAATAAATATTCTTTAGTGGTTTCTTCGATGATATTATTGGCCTTATCAAGAACAAATTTATATCGCTTAAGAAATTCTCGACATTCTTTATCAAGAAGAGCATTTTGCTTATCGCTCAATTTGATTTAAATATATTCGGTTATGTGTTCTTCATCATCAGGAAATATGATCGGTCTTCGAAATTTTGTATTTTCATTCTCTCTGAACCATGTATGATCTACACGTTTTTTCTTTTTTTCTTTAATTATAATATTTTGAATTTCAGAATCAAACTCACTTAAAGATTGAGACATTTTAAACAACAAATTACATAAGTAAAAATCTAATTGGTTTAAAACTGATTAGATTACTTGCTTTACCAAGGGTTTTTTTTTTTTGGCGTACCGCTAGCCTCGCACGTGCTTATACATTGATTGTGTTTGTAATGTTATTTGATTCGAATTTATGACTAGGCCCCTCACCTCTCAGTCACCAATACGAATCACATTTAATTTTATAAAATATTTATTTATTTATAAAAAAAAAAAATTAATAGAATTATTTAAAATAATTTTTGATAGTATTTTTACGTTCTGGTAAAGGTTTGGTTTTTTTGAACCTAAATATGCAAGTTTATCTGCTTGTTCATTTCCGTAAATACTACTATGTCCCTTTACATGTTTTAAATAAGTTTTTCCTTTATGTTCCTTAATCAAATCATTAAATCTATTAACTAAATCAAAATTAGTTTTTGGTTTTTTAATATCTCTAGAGATGATAACATAATTGCTATCTGTATTTATAATTAAATTTTCTTTTTTATCACAAATTTCAAGAGCTCTAATCACAGTATAGATTTCTGCACGATTGTTAGTTTGACGTTCACCAGGTAGCCGTTCAGATAGATTTCTAATATCATTATCTCTAAAAAATACACCTATACCTCCAATAGCATATGATAATCCATTTCTTTTACAATATCCATCTGTCCAAACATTTAATACATCTTTAAAATCATCAATATTTTGTTGATCGATAAAATTCTGAGCCTCGATCTTTGTATAAAATGATTTATACAAAGCTTCAGGATAACCTTTAACATATTTTTCACATTCTTTAAATGATAAAAAATTCTAGTTTTTTCTCCTTTAGCAACTGCATAATATTTTAACGAAAAAACTTTAGACATCTGGAATTACAATATAAATAATTCAAATAAAAATAAATCACAATTATGAAAACCAGTCGACAAACAACTAATGCATGAAGTAGCCGAGTTAGCAGAAGTGAGAGTTAGTAGAGATTATTACATAAAGTAAAAATTATTACAGGTTATGA